AATGAGACCCTGCTACCATTAAAAATCACAATAGGCTGAAGATGAACCAGCAAAGAAAACCAATACAGCAGCACAAAAAAATAGCGCACACAACGCAGAACTAAAACAGCCACAATGATATTAAACTGCTAGGACTGTTGGTAGTAATAGTTTCAGAGAGTAGCAGATTATTCTACCTGGTTCAGCCAATCCCCTCAGTGCAAGGATGGCTAACTTTATTTGATTCCTAGTGATCCAGTCAATGTTTAGACAAGATACGACAAACACTCACAGTTCCTCTTGCAAGGTCAAGGTGCAATTAAGCATTTAAAATTTATTGCATTGCTGAATGAAAAGGGGAAGAACCATGGCCAATCTTCCCCCTGACAGATCTCCTGGGAAAGTCAGTTTTGTCTCAGGTCCGAAGCACCCTGCTTCCTTCAGAGAACCTCATATAGTAGCCTACTTAAGTGGCAGGTGCTAGAGACAGGAAACAGCAGTGAAGTTCAGGGCCCCACATGCCATAGAACCTACCTAAGCTAAGGAAGAGATGCTGTCCAGTTAGGAGTATTGAATTGAGATTCAGCTTCCAGTCCAGTTGATTTCTCTACTTGGAAAGATACGGAGTGCTATTTTGCCCTTCAACACAGGCACCAAATTGTCTTGGGCTGGGCCTGCTTATCTCATCGAATGATCCACACTCATTGCTCTTGATACTAGATCTGTGAGAAGGTATAAGATTCACCTGATATTCCGACAAAGTGTGAGTGAAATGCAATGAAATGTTGTTGGGAAATGGACAAACACCCGCTTTAAACAAGTACAAATAAATATAGACAACCAAAATTACAAAGGAAAAGCAAAATAAAAGTTTAAAAAAAAACACCCGCTCAACATTGCTGCTCATGCGTGAAACAGATCAGAATTATCAGAGGCATTGAAATATACCTGGTAACCACTGACAGTGAATTCTGAATTATTATTATTATTTCAAATCCATAAATATTCAATAATGGATTTATTAGATGGAATTCAATTACCAACCTGAGTTAGAGATTGACATTATGTATAGTAAATAAAACTTGGTAATCCAACTGGGACATTTACATCATATACAGTTCCTCTAAATAATTGACATCAACTACCCCCACACAGACTATTTCTCAGGATTCCCCACGATTTCACAAAACAAATTTTTGATTTGAGCAATTAAAACTTACATTTCCAAAGGTTAAGCACAGTTTGACTGATGGGAATGCAGTTCCCTTACCTCCCATCTGGTGGCAGCAAAGCCTGCAAATATAGGATGGGAGGCCCGATGGCTCCTTCCCACTCTCCATTGTTTGATGCCAGAAGACTGTGCTGACGCTGGACTGGAGGAATTAGGAGTGAGAAAGTACTGAGTGCCAGAAAGCAGACAGAGATGGGGTGGGAAATAATTTAAAAGTGGGATAGTTTCATTATCTCCCTAGGAAGAAAAAAAAAAGTCGAAAGTTCCTCAGTTGCAACCAGCTTAGTTCACGCATAAGAGATTGGATTAGGCTGAGATCGTAAGCGTGTCTAGTTGACAACAAGCTCCCTTGAAATCAACTGAATACATGCCTAAAAGAATGGATTTACAAAGGAGATCCATTGATGGGAACCCCCCCCCCCCCACAGTTGAAGCTTTTTAAAGATTCACATCCCCTGCTAAATTTTGCTCCTCAAATAAGCTGTTTGCTCCAAGCACACATTAAGACAGAGTGCTTGGAGTTGAGCTGGCCCAGTCCTCCCAAGGCCGCAGCTTTATACAGCTTTATATACTCTGGCAAGGTCCGTATAGTTAAAGCTGTGGTTTTCCCATTAGTGATGTATGGAAGTGAGAGCTGGACCATAAAGAAGGCTGATGGCCAAAGAATTGATGCTTTTGAATTATGGTGCTGGAGGAGACTCTTGAGAGTCCCATGGACTGCAAGAAGATCTAACCTATCCATTCTGAAGGAAATCAGCCCTGAGTGCTCACTGGAAGGGCAGATCGTGAAGCTGAGGCACCAATACTTTGGCCACCTCATGAGAAGAGAAGACTCCCTGGAAAAGACCCTGATGCTGGGAAAGACTGAGGGCACAAGGAGAAGGGGACAACAGAGGACAGTGTTCTTGAAGCTACCAGCATGAGTTTGACCAAACTGTGGGAGGCAGTGGAAGACAGGAGTGCCTGGTGTGCTCTGGTCCATGGGGTCATGAAGAGTCAGACACGACTAAACGACTAAACAACAACAACAACAACAACAACAACAATATACTCTGGCAGTAAGTCCCCATTGAACTTAATGGTACTTCTGAGCAGATACGTTTCACACAGAGTAGACCCATTCAGATTATGTTAGGTCCATTAATTTCAATAGATCTGCAATGCTGGGCCAGATTCATCTAACCTGGTGCACTAGCAGGTAGCCAGCACAAGGACTCCTGCCGGTGCAATGGGCCTTCCCCGCCTTTCCTCCTCCTGCAGCTCCACCCAATGTGCTCTGGAGGGTCAGGAGAATCCCCCAAATGGTGTGTGGGTGGAGGAGAGGTGAGATCATTCTGTCTGGCAAGCAGAAATGCTTCCACTGATGGAATGATAGTCTTGGCATGATGTTGAATTCCACCCAACGTCAGCAAACTTGAGCTAGCCTCCAGGTTATAGCCCTTTAGTGGGGTGGAATCTTTACCCACTTTCTGTTATTGAATGGAAGCCTAACTGCACAAACACATACATATTTAGCATGGGACATGACAATCTCATGAGCCAGAAACCCATGCTGAGGCAAGAGTCAGGAACACATCCATTCCCATTATAGCTGGTCTAACTTATAATTCCAAGTTGCAAGGGGTTATGGAATTGATACGAACATGTGTGATTGAGTTGGGCCACCACTACCGTGCATTCATAGTAAACTGCAAGGACAGAATCATGGCAAAGAAAGACAAGAAGTGTCTTTGCAAGCCATCTAAAAGTCAACACTGATGGCACCTCATGGACCTCTCGGGGAGGAAGTTCCATGACCACAGAAATAGGGCCTTTTTTGTGACCCAGTGCTAGATTTTCACAGGGATGTGGAACCCTCAGCAACTCATCTTAGAAAGCAGGGAGGAGGCTGATACAGATAGAGTTGCCAGGTCTCAGGCTTCAGAGTCTATTTTGAAGGTGAGAAGTTCAAGTCTCAGGGCCATCAGATTCCCTCAGGTTACTGCTTTTGATCCCTTGCAGCTGATCATGCAGAGTTATAGATCTTGTGGGGAGTCTACATGGGTACTGCAGGCCCCGTTGCAGAGGTTTGCTCTGAACCTCTGGGAAGCCAGAAGTTGTAGCATGATCCTGTCACCTGGTTCTTCATGGGTTAAAGGGTTACTTATCCCTCTGCATTTACAATGGATATGTTTGGGATATTTGCTTGCCAATAAAAGAGAGCAATATAGTTTCTAAAATGCTGAGTTGTATTCTGCTTGGTGCTAAGCAGAACATCCCATCAGTGCAAGGAATTCTCCTGGTGCAATGCAACATTCTCCCCCTCTCCTCTGCCATGCACCCCCTGAATCTGTTCTGGGGTTTCCCCTCAAGCCCTCCAGAGCAAATTTGTGAATGACATGGGGCACACACGGCAGGCAGAAGAAGGATAATCCTGTTGATCTAGTACCAATTTTAATTGTGAACAAGGGCAGAACTACCAAAGCAATTTCGTTTTTAAAAAAATAAGATTCTCAAGTGCCTTATGTGTGTCCTTGGTGGAAAGGCAATTCATAATCTTTCTAAATAAATACAATATATACAAATAACAGTGCTTCTCCTTGCCCCCTTTAAGATTATATTGAACTGGCTGCTAGTATTTTTATCCACTGCATTCTTAGTTTGGGGCTTCAGCGTGCAGGGAGAGGATTTGAGGCATTGGTGAAGATTTAGTTCTTAAAACAAGCCCATTGCTTGTTAAATCAGCCTGTTTCCTAAGGGACACGGCTACTAGTCTGTCTTCTAAAAGAATGTATTAGCAACAGATGTTTTCTCAGTAGTATTATGGAAAATATTTTTGCTCTGCAAACAGACACGATTCTCTGGATTTGGTACAGCTTGCTTTGCTCTGTTTATGGGTATGGTCTCTGGCCACAGAAGGTTTGATAACAGCACATAGAAGAAATAGCTGTTGCTGTTGGTTGTATAAGGGAAACCTGACTCCTGTCTTGCGGCCACATTACTGTCTTGAATGCACAGCTGACGTCTCCATCTTCTAATATGCAGTCTATACAACCGGGCCACAAAGCTGGGTGGCGAAGGCAGAGGCAGTGCAGATTCCTCCTGCAAATTCTTCTTTCCCAAAGCACAGTTTTTGCTTTCTGTTTCACATGAAGCTGCCTTATCTGGGTTAAATTATTTGTTCATTCAGTCTGATACTGTCTACTCCGACTGGTAACAGCTCTCCAGGGTCTCAGCAGAGGAGAGTCTTTCCCATCACGTGTCACCTGAGCCTTTTAACGGTAGATGCCAATTGGCTGTTGATACAGACAGCTGAATAGTAACATGCACACTGTGACCTGCTCCTAATACTTTGCAGCAATTGTCTATACACCCTATGTTTTGTACCAATAAGTGTAAATACAGACTTTTTGCTTTCATGCTAATATAAAGCTGCCTTATCTAACGCCAACCTATTGTGCAATCTAGGTTGATATTGTCTACTCTGACTGCCAGCATTCCTCCCAGGCCTCTGGTAGAGGTCTTTCTGTATCAGATCATTTAAATCATGAGTAGGCAAACTAAGGCCCGTGGGCCAGATCAGGCCCAATCGCCTTCTAAATCCAGCCTGCGGACGGTCCGGGAATCAGTGTGTTTTTACAGGCATAGAATGTGTCCTTTTCTTTAAAATGCATCTATGGGTATTTGTGGGGCATAGGAGTTCGTTTGTCTTCTTTTCTCTCCCCCCCAAATATAGTCTGGCCCCCCACAAGGTCTGAGGGACAGTGGACTGGCCCCCTGCTGAAAAAGTTTGCTGAACCCTGGTTTAAATGGAGGTGCCAGGGAAATACCACAGCTCAGTGGTGGGGCATCTGCTTTACACAAAGAAAGTTCCAGGTTCAAACCCTGGCATCTTCAGTTGGAGCTGAGAGAGTACCCCCTCAGAACCCCCATATTGCTGCTTCTGGTTGGTGTAGACAATCTTGAGCAAAATGGACCAATGGTCTGATTCAGTACAGGGCAGATTCCTTTGTTCTTAAGCTGTGACTTCTCAGGCAAACAGATTTTGTGGCTGCAAAATACCCAAAACGGGGAACTGTGCATCTTCTCGTACTCAGATGCCTCATATAACAAATGAAACCGCTTTTAGTCATACCCCAAACCTTCCAACATTTCTCCAATGAAAATAGGCACATCCTATTCAACAACAACAACAACAACAACAACAACAACAATAATAATAATACCTCACCCATCTGACCAGGTTGCCCCAGCAACTCTGGGCAGCTTCCAACATATATAAAAACATAATGAAACATTAAACATTAAAAAAACAACACCTTTCCTATACAGGTCTGCCTTCAGGTGTCTTCTAAAGTTGTAAAGTTACTTATCTCCTTGGATCCAGGATGTATAACTCCATACCCACCAACATTTCTCCGATGAAAATAGGGAAGTCCCAAGGGAAAGCTGGACATTCCGGGATCAAATCAGAAAGCGGGATGGTTTCTGTAAATCCAGGACCACCCCTGGAAAACAGGGGCACTTGGAGGGTCTGGGAAAAGTGTGTTTTCAGTGTCAAACAGAGCCATAAGCAGACACCTGGGCACCTGCTATAGAGTTTTAAATCTGCATTCCTTCTTCAGTATACCTGAAGGAGCATCTCCACCCCCATCGTTCTGGCCGGACGCTGAGGTCCAGTGCTGAGGGCCTTCTGGCGGTTCCCTCACTGCGAGAAGCAAAGCTACAGGGAACCAGGCAGAGGGCCTTCTCGGTAGTGGCGCCCGCCCTGTGGAACGCCCTCCCACCAGATGTCAAAGAGATAAACAACTACCTGACATTTAGAAGACATCTGAAGGCAGCCCTGTTCAGGGAAGTTTTTAATGTGTGACATTTTGATGTATTTTTAATCTTTGTTGGAAACCCAGTCAGATGGGCGGGGTACAAATAATAATAATAATAATAATAATAATAATAATAACTACTACTACTATCTCCTTTAGAAGGTCGCATGGACATGAGAGCATAGGAAGGACCCTGCCAGATCAGACTATCCAGTCCACTGTCCTGTTTCTGATTGTGGCCAACCAGATGTTTCTGCAAAGCCCCCAAGCAGGTCTTGAAAGCAATAGCCTCCCTCCTTTTCTTGTCCAGCCCCCCCCCCCCATGCAGAACTGATATTCAGTGGCATACTGCCTCTGGCCAAGAATATAGCCATCATCCTTAAAGTCCCACGGTTATTACCACCCAGGTTTTAGATTGCTTCTGTGCTATTCCCCCACCAACCCCCGATGCTGTTTTATCGGATCACTTTATTGTGAAACCAATTTAAAGCTGGAAACCCAATCATGTGGTTTATTGGGGTGGGGGTAGTTGGTTTTGTTTTAATCTGTGAACTTGGTTTCTTTCAGTAACTTCATAGCTGATCAGCTTCGTTGACCTGCATACCTGGTTTCTGTTAAACAATCAACTGGATTGTAAAAGGCATATTTGGGTATTATGTTAGGCTTGAAATGCCACCAAGTATATTCTGTTTCTCAAACTCCCAGCTACATGGGATCTTTCAGTGATTTGAATGTCTTTGGAATGGAGAATGGAGAAGACATAAAAAGAGCTAGATTTACTGATAATTTGATATTTGGAAACATCCTTTCAGGCTATCAAGGGAAGAAGGTATAGCTGCCAAAATAAAAATTTAAGACATCAGAAGTGCTAGCTTTCCTATTCCCCATGAGAATCAACTGTTTAAAGCAGAAAAGAGTTTTATATCCATTTGTCACCAACTATAGATTTTAAAAACAGTTATTTTTAAAGGAAATTCTTGTCTTTCTAAACTCGTCTGAAAACACATCTGACTATGACTTCAGGAATTTTATCTCCCTTGCTATCAGTCTAGTCTTAAACAGTGAAAAACTATGCTCACACATCTCTAACCAGGCAATTCTGATTTGCTTCAACTTTCGCCAGGCAATCTTCCCTCTCCCCCTTTTTTATACAGAATTTTTTTATCACTGACTCCATTGGTTGTCAGGAAACTCCATGCTGCAGCCTTCACCCTGCGAACGATCGACATTCCAAACCTCAATCAAAGCAGAGGAAAAATGATCAGATAAATAATGGCCCAGAGTGCCAACAGACAGCAGCTTTTATGTTGGTATGGCTATATGAAGTAGGGACATTAGCAGTAATAGTTCCAGGCAGAACAAAACATGCTACATGCATCATTGTTATCCAAGACTCTCTAATAATTGTAAAACTTGATTGTATTTTCCAGACTGTTTTGTTTTATTGTTCTTGGAGCAACCCAGTTATTGTACTTTGAAACCCTTTTGCTCTTTCACTGCTATGTGTTTTCTGTAATTAGCATAGCTCAACATCAAAAAAACTAAGATCATGGCCACTGGTCCCATCACTTCCTGGCAAATAGAAGGGGAAGAAATGGAGGCAGTGAGACATTTTACTTTCTTGGGTTCCATGATCACTGCAAATGGTGACAACAGTCACATAATTAAAAGACGCCTGCTTCTTGGGAGAAAAGCAATGACAAACCTAGACAGCATCTTAAAGAGCAGAGACATCACCTTGCCGACAAAGGTCCGTATAGTTAAAGCTATGGTTTTCCCAGTAGTGATGTATGGAAGTGAGAGCTGGACCATAAAGAAGAGAAGACTCCCTGGAAAAAACCCTGATGTTGGGAAAGATGGAGGGCACAAGGAGAAGGGGACACAGAGGATGAGATGGTTGGACAGTGTTCTCGAAGCTGCCAACATGAGTCTGACCAAACTGCGGGAGGCAGTGGAAGACAGGAGTGCCTGGCGTGCTCTGGTCCATGGGGTCACGAAGAGTCGGACACGACTAAACGACTAAACAACTAAACAACAACAAAACCCCTACCCCACAGCAAATCTTTCTTTTGGGTATTGGCTGTACCTCAACATTCCATTGATAGCCACTTTATCTTTTCCCTGGCACCATTTTTGGATCACCTTGGACATTTCAACCTGTGTGTTCCTGCTCTATTCCTTGCAGTTTAATTGCTTCCAGACATATGTATTTACTTGGGCTGTTTAAGTGTCCATTTTGGTATGCCCTTTCATTTTACTGTGGCTCAATACCTGAAAGCTCCATCTTAGAATCACAGAAAGTGTAGTGTTGGAAGAGAGGAAGGTGTTGATGGTGAGAAGGGGAAATGGCATGCTCCCGAGGGCTTGTGATAGTTGTGCCCCTGCAGTGGTGCAAGCCTTGGCAAGTGACTAATCCTGCCACCCCCTGCCATGGGCCCTGCCTCCTAGCAATAAAGGTGGTGGTGGGGAAGTAATATAATGAAATAACGTAACAGCAAAACAACGTGGATGAGATAAAGAAATAAAAACAACCAATCTCAAAAGATCTCGACTAAAAATGAAAATAAAGTTCACCTTTTTGGGGAGGTCATTCCAGATTCTGGGTGCCACAAGAGAAGAACCCCTCTTGTTTTGACAGTAAATATCCCCTGACACACAATGCTTTTCATGTTCAGTTTCTGATAGCCCTGGCTCAGCCTCTCCTCAAGAGCCAGTGTGGTGTAGTGGTTAAAAGCGGTAGTCTTGCAATCTGGGGAACCGGGTTCACATCTCTGCTCCTCCACATGCAGCTGCTGGGTGACCTTGGGCCAGTCACACTTCTCTGAAGTCTCTCAGCCCCACTCACCTCACAGAGTGTTTGTTGTGAGGGAGGAAGGGAAAGAAGAATGTTAGCGGCTTTGAGACTCCTTCGGGTAGTGATAAAGCTACCGGGATATCAAATCCAAACTCTTCTTCTTCTTCTCCTTCTCCTACATTGTATACATCTCCTTAAACATGTCCACATTTAACAGGGTGCCAAGTCTGGAACCCACCTTTCTGACTATTCTGAGTGGCTCTTTTCCCCACATTGATAGGGCAATTGATGGGAGGGCATTGTGCTCCCAGCTCTTTTCTCTGTCTCTTGAAGATATGGTAGGCATTTCTGTTCTGCTCTGCCCACCCCATGGAAGCAAATTGTGGAGCCAGTACAGCCATCTAGCCACCTACCAACCTACTCGCTTATTGAACAAAATATCTGGTGCCAAATCTGTGGTAAAACTGTGAGATGGACAGGTGAAGTTTCTGGCATTAGGCAACCCTAATGATAATATGTTACTAATGGAGACAAAAACAATAATCTCATCACATTTCCTAATCTTTTCAAAGCACACACCAAGATTCCCAGTGGCAATCCTATACTTCAACATCAGAATACAGGTGCAGTAGTGCAATTTTCCATATACACAATAACATGCCTTATCTTTGAATCATCATCCTCTTTCAGAGAACCGCCATGATTTTCTGGTTTCATTAAAAAAATAATTATGTCAGATTACCAGATTTATAAGATACTCTTATATTATCCAAGCCTCAAACTTTGAAAACATATATTCCCTGTGTGATCTAATAATTCTCAAATGTAAATTAATCTTTAAATGACTCTCAAGAAAGTCACCTTTGGAAAGCAAAGAAGCATGAGAAAATCTCAGCCCGAAAGTAATTTGGCATAATAATATGCATTCCTGAAAGCTGGAGCTATAGTATAACTTAGAAATGTATGGCTCTTTCCAGTAAAGGAACTGCTACTCCCTTGCGCAGAATTGGATAGTAAATGTGAATATTTTGCCTTCAGATGTTAATGTCACAAATTAAGATAGAAAGGAAAATATCTCAAAGGTAAAAGAAAATGGCTACTTGGTACAATTTCCTGTCAGAAGAGACCCACAGAAGGGGTCTGGCAATCATCTTGTTTCTTGAGAAGATTTGCTGTTGTCAAGAGCTGTTAACCTAGATGGGCAGAGGACCAACAACTACCACAGGCGTATGGGTTCAAGTGTTTCATGAGCAAAGTATCATAGGGGATGTGGTGAGGTC